GCCAAAGGATAAAATATACTGATTCAATGAGTGTGTGAGTTTTAAACAACCTACTTCCCTGTGATGGTGTGCCAATCATTTATTTTCACCTGATTTATAGATGGGTTGAAATAGGGCCTTCTCTTACCTAAGGCTCCTTGAACAGAGCACTCCAAATTAAAAGAAAAAGTCCAGTGAGAGGTGATGATACCACACCAGCAGGTCTATCCACTGAAGGACAGACATTCCACCACTGCAGCATGCATCAATGCCTTGTGGGCACATCGATGCACTTCTGAGTGTTTCCAACAATGCCTCTGAGATTCTGCTTGCATTCTGGTCTCCATGGAAGAAAACTGATGGTTCTCCCTTATTGGCTGCTCCAGGTCCACAAATTACTCTTCTTCCTCAATATAGATGAGGTTTTCAGTGAGGTGAGGGATGCAGGCTGAATAAACCAAGCTTCTGAAACAAGAGACAGATGTCTGAAGCCATGATTCACCAGTGATGAGCTGCAATTGGGCCACGTAGACTTTGAAGTAATTCATTACATTTGTATCTCTTCTGCAGGGGGAGGACTTTCCTCAATGATTTGTATGACCTTGCTAAACCCAGATAGGTGGTAATTGAGCAGCAACTACTTCTTCAGAAGAAACAGAATAAAAATATTGAAAATATTGACTCACCCCAAAGGCAGTGAGCAGCACTTTGGTCTTTGACCTTTAAGCATCCTAGGGTAGTCAATAACCTGGCTGTTAGATGCTGTGCCTGCCACTGATTTTGATTTGGGAGTAGTTTAACCTTGAACCAAGATCTAAGTAACCACGGCAACAGGAAGTTGGCCTCTCCATCCAAGAAGTGGGGATCCATAAATCAAGGTCCCTAATGCAAACACTGTGTGCAGGTAGAGATTTGAGAGGATAAGTGGTTTGTGGGGGATTACCTTTGAAAAAATGAATGATTGTCCCTTGATATGTTGAAACACAGCTTCACAGACTTTTTTCTTTTTTTATCAATAGAGGTCAACAGGTTACAGCTGCATGTTTTCATACGGCTCTTTATATAGGCCCTTCAGTTTAATTAGAACCAGATGTTGAATTTATGAGGTTGTTAGCATTATTATGTACCATATGCACATGCATATATGTGTGTGTGTATTGATACATGCACCCACATGTGCACTTTTCTTGTGCACCCACTACACTCACGAATAAATATTGTTAAGGCACTGTGTAGTGGTGAAACCTCAGGTGTGCATACACACAGTTCCAAAGGGTAATTACCTAGTCAAATGTCTCACTTATTCTATGGGACACTGCTTTATTCAATGTATTGAGCTCACCTAATGAACAGCTATTTGGGAGCTGGATTTTCCTTTTTGCTATTCAGTGCGTGACATCATGTCTCATTTATTCCATCTTTCTAAGCCTTGGTATGAATAGATGAATGTTTCATGAATGTTGATAATTTTATTTTCACAGGACTGCTCTTGAGATGAGGGGTATATTATTGTTCTCATTTGCACTAGAGAAGCCGAGCAGAGAGAGATTGAAGTTTAATGGATACAATTTGAGATGCTTAATACTAGATTTGAGGCTCTGGAAAGATGTGTGGTCTAATAGGCAGAGACTGCTCTGTTTATCTCCACCAAGCTGTGACCTGCAACACTGTCTCATGACCATTTCTGCTCTTTCTTGCCTCCTTTAAATCCACTGGCTGATATCAGGTCATGGTTTCATCAGGACTCCTATCCCAAACTGGCCCATTCTGTAGCCTCATCTTCCTCTCTGCAGTGAGACTCCTCTCACTGTAGCATTTCTGTGCCTGGATCTGATAGGGATCTCTTCCACAGTTTCTGAGACAATCCACATGTCTGTGATATTTCTCATTTTGTGTGCCAGAAACATAAGTTCACAGGGACAGTTCATAGCAGCTCCAAATAGCAAATATAAGGAATTTTTGGTTGTTGTATGGAGAAGCTGAGCACAGCGAAGAGGCACAAAAGGGAAAAGGGTCTGGAGCACCAGGAGCAGCTGAGAGAGCCAGGGGGGCTCAGCCTGGGGAAAAAGAGGATCAGGGAGAACTTTATCACTCTCTACAATTCCCTGACTGGAGCATGCAGCCAGGTGGGGGCTGGACTCTGCTCCTAGGGAACAAGGAACAAAACAAGAAGAAAGCTGTGCCAGGGGAGATTTAAATTGTGTATTAATAAAACTTTCTTCACAGAAAGGGTTGTCCAGTTCTGACACAGGCTCCCAGGGCAGTTTTGGAGTTCCCATCCCCTGGAGGGATTTAAAAGCCATGTGAATGTGACACTTGGGGACGTGGGTCAGTGGTGGCCCTGGCAGTGCTGGGGGAACAGTGAGACTTGATGATCTTTGGGAGCTTTCCCAAGTTTGATGATCCTAGGTGATTCTTGATGATTGTAGATGTCAGGGCACCTGTGGAAAGTTTTTGAGGAACCACCAGGTGCTATCCAGGTGCAGCCAGGGGTGAAAAGGGGGTGCTGCAGGGGATAAAAGCCCCCACCTGCTGACCTGACCTGCTGTGCCAGAAGGTTTGCTGCTGGCTGGAATCAGGAATATTGTGGAGACACGCAAAACCAGATCAGAGTGGCAAATCAAACTCAGCAAAGATGTCAGGAGATTTTCATGATTGACCAAGAAGCTCCTGAGTGATGTCAGGTACAAAAGGGAAGCAAAAGAGACATGGAAGCAGGTGACCCAGAGAACTAGAGCTGCAACGTTCAAGTATGCAGAGATGGGCTTAGAAGGCAAAGTCCATCTGGAGCCGAATCTAGGGCAGAAGATCAACAAGAAATGTTTTGACAGGTACATAAAGCAGCCAAAAATAACCTATGGAAAATATGGGCCCTTTGGTGAATGAGTCAGGGACTCTGGCTGAAAAAGATCAGCAGAAGACTGATTGTCCTCTTTGCCTTGATCTCTACTGGCAAGACTGGCCTTTGAGAATCTCAGGACTGTAAGACTAGTGTGGAAAAAAAACCTGCTTTTGGAGGAAGATCTGATAGGGAACAGTTAAATGGACTGGATATGCATAAATCCATAGGATTTGGCAGGATGTACTCAAAGGTCCTGAGGGATCTGGCTGGCACCACTGTGAGGCTACTCTTGGTTGTTTATGAAAGGTTATGGTGACCAGGAGAGGTTTCTGAGGACTGGAAGAGAGGAAATACAAGTCCAATAAGGTCAATCAGAAAAAGCAAGGAAGCAGCAAGGCAGTTCAGTCTCACCTGAATGCTTAGAATTTGATGGAGGTGAAGAGCATTTCCAAACGTATGAAGGAGGAAAAGATGACTAAGAGTAGTTATCACAGATCTGTGAATGGGAAATCATACTTCACCAGTCTGATGTTTCTTATCTTGACTTTAGCAAGAGCTCTCTCAGCTTCTTATAGACAAAATGATGAAATACAGGCAGGATGGATTCACACTGTGTTGGACTGGAAACTGGCTGGTCTCAGACAGTTGTGATGAGTAGCACAAAATCCACTTAGAGACCAGTCAGTAGAGGTGCACTCCATGATATGGGGACATTTATTTACGTCAATTATTGAGCAGGGTGATGGGGTAGAGAACACCCTCAAAAAATCTGGAGAATTTTAGGACTCAGAGGAGTGTCTGATATGCAAGAGGAACATGGACATATGGGAGGGAGTCCAGTCAGAGGCCATAAAGGTTATTAAGAATCTGGGATATCTCTCTTATGAGGAAAGGCTCAGAGAGATGGGATGTTCCTCCTGGAGAAGACAAGGCTCAGGGGGATTTTTCTACATATGCAAATGTTTGATGGGAAAGATTAGAGAGGATGGAGCCAGATTATTCTCAATACTGCCCAGTGACAAGACAAGAGTCAATGGGCACAAGCTGAAACACAGGTTATTCCTGAGCAGTATAGATTTACTGAGGGGATGAACAGGTTGTAGAGAGAGGCTGTGGTCTCTCTCTCCTTGGAGAAATTCTAATTTGGCCAGATGTGGTCCAGGGCAGCCTTCTCTGGATGACCCTGCTTGAGCAAGGTGAACTGGGCAAGGTGGTCTCAATAGGAGCTTTTCAACCTCAACTGCTCTGTGATTTTCAGAATCATTATATAATTTAGTTGCCCAAATCCAATGCATTTTATCTGAGGCTCATGTGCAGGTTGAGATCTGAAAAAATATGGAATTTTTGAAGGATTATTTCTGATAAATGAATATCTGCCCTAATCATGTTGAAGCCCAACATCATTGAGACTGGGAGAGGTTTTAAAATTTGCATGCCAGCAGTTTAAATTTCACATATTTACAAGCAAAGAAAATGGTTACAAACTATGAAAGAGTTTGAGAAATACTATTAGTGGAGGATTTTGCCTGCCATAAGTGCATAACTTTTATTTTTCTGGAATATTTAACCTCTTTGGAATCCTTTTACCACTCATTTATTCTGCATTGTAAACTGTAGGTAGAAAGATATATGACAAAAAACTCTTTCTTTTTTTTAACTCACTTCCCTTTGATGAGCTGCAAGGCAAATTTAATTAGGAAGGGAATTCCTGAAAAATAAATGTAATGTGCTTTGGATGGGAATTGCATATTGAGGTTGTTCCTGATGCCTGCTCCTTACTCAGATGAAACACCCACTAAGTCAGGTGTTTATAGCAGAGAAGTATGTAACAATGTGTGGAGAATGAACTACACAGGAAATGATACATAGGAATTCCCACTAAATAGAGTTATGAAGGACATCTGTCTTTATACATGTATCAGAGTGTTTTTAGAAAAAAAAGTACCAATGTGGAATGTTTTGTTGGTTTACCATTGTTTATAGAGACCACTGATGGTACATCCTTCAGCAAGGTAATAAAAAATTAAGAATTACAACCCTTGCTAGTATTTGAGATGCACCCACAAGGAAATACGGAAATATATCAGTGTAGCAAGGACAGCAACTGACTTCTGGTTTTTTCGAATATATCCATAGACAGGTTGCAGTACTAATAGTCATCCAAATTTTGTTTCCCCAGGAATTGCAGGTCCCCACTTAAAAGCAGACCAGACTTCACTTCATGGTAAAATGGAAAGTTCTGCCTGTAATGTGATGACCAGAAGGAAACCAGCAGCTGTTGACAGTGTTGCAATGCCAAGTCCAGTATTATCTCTCCTACCTTCATCATCAGCAACATCTGAAGCAGGTAATGCTGTTTTCACTCCAGCCCCTCTGTTTCTTCCCCATCTTCTTCCTTCTGGAGCCATACAATGTGTTAACCTAATTCTCTTCCTGATTGGGGAAGTAGCTGAAAATGTGAATATCTAATGTGATAATCAGGCTTTCCAATGCTTTCTTGCCATGATTGCACATCTTGGCACATCAAATCTATTTTATTCACACACCACCACTTGTGCAATAATGAGGACACAAGTAGCACCAGCCTGTATGGTCTAGCAAGATGCTCTGAAGCAAAACTCCTGGGTTCCTTCCTCAGGCCCATTCTTCATTTATTTTAAATGCTCCCATCCCTGTAGCATGAACAAACCGAATACACAGTGAATAGTTGAGGAGCAGATGAGATTTCTTGCTGCATACTTCAGTGATTTTAGCGTAATACTCTGTCTTGCAAATGCAAAATTGTCTGGGGAAATGAGCAGTGATTTAAAATACCAGAATAAATAAGTCAGAATAGCTTGCTTTTCTATCAACTTATATTTTGTGCTTCTATTTTGAATCAGATCAGAAAGGTGATATCTTTATACTGTTGGAAGTTGAGCCAAGTCATTCAGGCATCATCACGCCTTTTCTTGGTCATGAATAGAGAAGTTAATATTGCATTTTGTCTTAATTTCCAGTGAAGGAGGAATCTACAGTTCATTACCCTACTCCTAATGCAGCCATTAGGAGTTTCATAGTCTTGTCAAACTTTTGATGCTACATTCACAAAAAAACCTATTTCTATCATTGATTTACAGAATTATTGCATATTTAATCATTCAACTGAAAGTGCTGTTTCAATGCACTTATGTTTATTTCCCTCTCACTTCCTGAATAAACAGTGAAAACAAGGGTTTAATGCTGCAAATTATCCTCTGTAAATATATATTTTTATATTAAGAAAATCAGAATTGTCTGTTTAGCCTTTAATAGTTTCTTATATATAAACCAAGGACAGATTTTTAAAGCAGCACAGAAGGAAAACGCACAAATATTTTATGATCCGCTTCAAGATGAAAGTGTATGCTTGACTGCATAGTTCATTCTTTCCATTTTCAGAAGTCTAATTAAATTGTTGGTTTATCTGTAGCCCAGATGTTTAAATAATTTAGCTGAAAACTGACAGAAGCTGTGTTAATGGGATAACAGGACAATGCTATGGGTTTCCTGTAATTAATAGGAAGGTCTTTGAAAATTCCTCCATTCAAATCAAGCCAACAAATTGACCCCAGCTTTGAGCAGCTTCCTCTGTGCCATGTTCTTGCAAGTGGCCTCAGGCACCTCTGAAGGGATGGAGAATGACAGGCAGCAAGAAGGATTTTAGAGCTCCAGACATAACAGAGCCATCCAGAATAAACTTTTGGGGCTAATGAAGAACATCCAAGGGGTCTGATCTACCTGGGCTCACATCCTCCTTCATCATCACTGTGCTGGATTGGGTCGTTCAGCCTCCTCTAAGCTACCCTTGGAAATACATATTTTTGGTAGGAATGGCTCTCTTTGTTTCAGAAGCTGTTTCCAGCATCATAACATTCCTGCATGGCCTCCCAGCATGGCCTGCAGCCATTCCAATTTGTGAGACTGAGCCTCCCTGCACCTGTGGACCCTGCACCAGACCTCCGTGTGCCTTATTTGAAATGTGTCAAGCTGTGGTTCAAGGCTGGCATTGGTTCTTGCTTGTTTTGGGGCAGCTAGGTGAGGTTGTTTGGAGAGTGGGGAAAGGATGAAGCAAAAGTATAAGAGCTTGTGCTGCATCGTGCATTTCTAATTTCTCTTCATTTTGTGGTGGATTTTGACTTTGTGGAGGCAGCATGTGGGGAGGTGGAGGGAGATCAATATGCCCAGGTAAAAAATTACCCCCTGTGCACCTCTGGTGCCTGGAGGCTGCCACATGTTGCATCACCTCCATGAGAGCATATTCACTTTTTCATATGCCTACAGGCAAACATAAAATTATAGTTATCCCCTCCTCTTCAAGCCCTTCTAAAGGAATTCCACCAAATATATCAAGACAGAAATCTTCCTCCCAAAGCAAGATTCCCATGTGCAAACAGCAAAATACGTGCAGGAGTAGAAAAAAAATCCAAAAAACTAAGACCAACACAGACCAACTTGGGTCCAGGGCTGGTCAGGGTCTGTCTGGATAAAATGGAAAAGATTAATACTTAGCTTTGTCTCTCAGCAGAGCACTATATAACATGTCAATATAGGAAAATATTTTATATCAAAGATTGCTCACCAAGAGCTTCCAGATGAGTTGATAACACCTAATGGCTCTCACTTCAATAGTAGTTTACTTTGGCAGATCTCCCTGATATTTTATCATAGGCACACCTCATCAAAGCTTCCCTGCAGACCCATCAGACTCTTTTTGCATAGTCTTCCTACAATACGTGTAGAATCAGATGTCCCTGACATTCAGTAATCAAAATAATGTTGGGTTTCCTAATATCTCATTTTAAAAGCCTGACCTAAAAGCATATGCACTTACTCAGTACATGCATTCTGACTACTGGCAGACTGTATAACAACTCAAATGATTTCTAGAGCCTGCATGTTCAGAGACTTGCTAGGAAGAAAGCAAAAGAATTATTAGTAGCTTCTAACAAGCTCCCTGAGAAAGCCATAAACACCCCAAAGCATTTACAAAGGAAAAATTAGTGCAGTAAGCCAGCATAGAACAGCTCAGAAGGATTTTTTTTTTCTAAATGTGAAAATGTGTTTCAGCACAGAAATGAACACACTTCTGAGCTTGCAAAGTTTAATAAGGGCAAAAAAAGTATCTAAACATGAAAGAAGGCACTGAAAGTGGTGTTCAGCTCGTACATTTATATGCAGGAGCAGAAGCCTACCCATAATTGCCTGCATACCAGATAATTTTGGGGAATTGGGCAGTTTGGCAGAAGGCAGGTGCCAACCTTTGCTCCACTCAGGCAGTGTCTACTCAGAACCAGGCTCCAGTCAGGACCCTCAGCCTGAGTGACCTCACTGAGTTTCAGGATGGACAGGAGCACTGTGTGCTTCTTAGGCAGTATCAGGACATCAAAACCATGTGCAAGGTCATCTTGAATTGCATCGAGTTCCCATTTCAGAGTTTAGAGGCTGAGATCATCCTCCACCAGCTGTACAGACCAGGTCTCCATTGACCATGCTCAGGTGGTAACACCAACCTGCAGATAAATCTCAGTAAAGATATAAAATCTTTGCAGGTACTTGGCAAATGCTGTATTTCCATACTTTTTCCCAGTTCCTTGGCTTATTTTCTTTCCATTGAAAATAGAGAGTAAAGCCAAATCTCCTCGTATCATCATGATACCTTGCCAGCTTTCCTGTATTTCTGTTAAATTTTCCACTGTCAATCACCAACTGAAAAATTTCAGCTTTACCTTTAAAAAAAAAAAAAAAAGACAATAATAATAAAAAAAGGCACCTCAAATATTGGAATCTAGAAAAAAAACCATGGGACTTGAAAATGCACCCTAACAATAAAAATAAAAGGCAAAAGGTGGACAATGAATTTGAAGAGTGTGCCAAATGTTTGATTTTTTAGATCTTCTGACCTGAAGCTACTCTCAGGATATGGGAGGGAGGGACTCAAAGGATTTGGCTGCTTAACACTGAAGTTATTGGGACTACTTATGTCAATCACCAACCAGTGAGGACAGATGAGAATAATCATTTTCTGTGACAGGGACTTAACCTTTTTTGATCAAATTTCTGGGAAATAACTTGCTGCCACTTGCCTTGAGGGATCTTGAATCCACAGTTTTTAGGGGTGACCTACTTGGGAGGAATTTTGTGCAACTAATTAGCTTCTCCTGAGCAACTTGGATATTTCATTTCCTTTCTCTTTTCCTTTGGTACCAAAATGACTGCATTCCTCTTTTCTTTTGTCCTTTGTGAACCACAAACTGCAAATGGGTTTTATTTTTCTTTTTGGTGTGGGGAGTGGGTTACATATGGAAAATGTATTTTGTTTTGTAATTAATGAAAACCAGACTTTGGGAAGTTGGCCATTCCAGGTCTTTATTTATAAGAGAGCATATGTCTGTGTTTTGTTTATGACTCACTCCTACTTCTTACATTGTAACTTGGGTTTGTTTATGCAAGCTCTTCGCTGAATCCAAGCAACATGGTGGTATAAGAGCCAATAATTTATGTTCTCCAAGAGGGGAGGCCAGTGATTGAGGTTTATATGCTGAATCTGTCAGAGCCCATAGAGAACAAGAGGAGATTCTACATCTTGACAGCTCCTGGTTATCCACAGAAAATGCTACAATAGCAACTTTATTTAAACTACTGCTGGAAGATTAGCCTGTTAGCCATGAAGGCAGAGATAACCCCTAAATGAACCTTTCTCAAAATCTTGCCTGCTCAGGAAACTTCAAGGATTTCAAACCCAAATGACTGCTTGACAGTCAGGTGTAAATTAAGTTTGCAAGTAGATGTGGGCTGAGGTTAATTTAGTGGGATGTTTTATTCTTACCAAAAAAAAAAGAAATTCTGAGCTCCATCATTTCTTTCCCAGCAGCACAGAACAGATATGTTAGGAGTGAAAGGGAGCACCAGTTATTGCAATAGCAGAATTAATACATTCTGCTCTCCTTGCAAAGGGGTAGTTACTTCTAATCTGTGTGCAAATCCTGAACTCTGAACAGATGCCATGTTCAGGAAAGGACAATGAGACAATTTAGGCAAAACAAGCAAGGTCTCGTGTCCTCAGCAAAAGACAAGGAGCCAAGAAATTCTGGGTACTCTTCCCAGCTCTGACAATGACTCACAACGTGACCTTGGCAAGAGACTTAACTACTTTGGACTTCATTCAGATCTAAAGTAAGTGATCTGTACCAGGGGTAAGCTTACTTTGGGGGCCATTAAAGTCAATTATATGACTGAGTAGTTTCAGCTAGTATCTGAAGAGTTGATAGTACAGAAAACCAGGCAGGGGTAATGAATTTGCCACAGATGAAGTGACCCACACGTCTTGTCTCTGCCCACTAGTTTCAGTAACAAACACTTTTCATACTAACTGGCATTCATGACAAGAATTGAAGACATCAGGATTATATCTTTGGGATACAGAAGGTTTAATAGTTAAGTTGGGCCAATATGACAGCCATGCTAAGCTTCCTTCTCTCTTATTAAAGGTTGAAAAATGAGAATGAAGCAAAGCCATGCTAAATCATTACTGTAGAAAAAGCTTTGTTGCTTTAGAAGAGGGAACAGGCAGAGAGAAATCTCTGAAAACTACTTATATGAAAGTTGTGTTTTCATCTGCTCATCATGATGCTGGAAGGAGTCAAAGAAGAGTTTCCAGTCACTGTTGTTTGACCTACCCCCGTTTCTCTCCTTGTCTCCCAACAGCCAGCTCACCACTGAAGAAAAGGTTCAAGCGCCGTGAAATTGAAGCAATCCAGTGCGAGGTGCGCAAGATGTGCAACTACACCAAGATCCTGTCCACCAAGAAGAACCTGGATCATGTGAACAAGATCCTGAAAGCCAAGCGGCTGCAGAGACAATCAAAGACAGGCAATAACTTCGTGAAGAAGAGGAGGGGGCGTCCAAGGAAGCAACCCCTTTCCTTTGACGAAGACTCCAGAGACCAAATGCCCGTTCTGGAAAAATGCGTTGACCTTCCGAGCAAAAGAGGTCAGAGACCAACACTCAACCCTTTAGTACTGGAGCAAGCGGCCACCCAAGATACAATCATGGCCACCATCGAGGCTGTCATACACATGGCTAGAGAGACGCCACCGCTGCCGCCTCCTCTGCCTCCTCCACCCCCTCCACTGCCTCTCCCTCTACCCCGGGCACCCCGGGTTGGAAAAAGGAAAAACAAGTCCCCGCAGGAGGAAGAGGAGGACGTGAAAGTGAAGCGGCACCGGAAAGGCAGAGGGAGCGAAAGCGAAGGCCTTCCCTAAGGCCAGTGCACCTCGTCAGATGTTGGGTGCTCACCGTGGAGCACGCCAGGACTGGGGGACAGGAGGTGCACAGTCCGCCTCACCCCTTTGGCAGCACCAGACTGACCTGTCCCTTCAGCAGCCAGAACTCATTGCAGAGAGCTCTGCCAGCTGGGGCTCGCATCTTTCCTCTTCATCGCTTTGACCCAAGCTGCCCCCCCGAGAAAAGAGGGGGGGAAAGGCGCGGGAAAAGTGGGGGATACAGGGGAGGAGGATGTGTGTCAAAGTTGGAAAAAGCACGAACTCTGCCGAGTATCCAAAACTAATCTGAATCTCAGCATTGCTGTTCTCATACCGTACCCAGAGGCGGGAAGTCATCCTCGCAGAGAGCTGAACGTTGTCACTAAGGGTGCATGCTCGACTCTGATTCTGTTTGGTGGGCCAGGTGAAACTAAGAGTAACTTTACCGTAATAGAAATCACTGTAAAAAAGAAAAAGGAAAAAAAAAAAAAAGAAACAAACAAACAAAAAGAAACAAAGAAAGAAACAAAGAAAGAAACAAAGAAGAAAAACACCCAACAAAAAATAATGTAATTTTCTCAACTGTGATATTGGTATAACCTATTTGATTTTTTTTTTTTTCCAGTTTTATATACCTACCAGGCTTTGGGACAGCATAAGCCAAAACGCCTGGCTCCTGCTAGAACTATATATTTCTTTATCATTTACTTGCCTAGTTACAACTAGCTGCAATATAGGCAATAGAAAATTAGAGCCTTACACGCGTGCACACTCATTCCGAGTGCTATCCCAAGAAAAAATGGAATATCACAGCATTTAAAATAAGGTATACATGGATATTCGGTTACAATAACATGTTTATATGAAGCAACTTGGCAATGGCATGTGAAAAAAGGGGTCATCCATCAGCCAAGTTGTTTTGATGCTCGGTACATATGAGTAGAGAACAGCAAGACACTTCTGGGGAATAGTTATAGTAAACATGGAAAAAAAAATCACCAAAAAAAGAATATAAAAAAGATAAAAGAAAAAAAAAATAGGACAGAAAAAAAATAGAATAAAAAACAGGGCCCAAATCTACCAAGTTTTTACCATCTGCAATTCCCAATGAAATTAACAGGAAAACCAGAATATGAATAATTTGCATCGGGTAGCAATGCCTTGATATTATCTTTTAAAGAAAATAGATAAAGTAGATTGTTTTAAAAAAATATAGAACAAACCCTATGGATAATAGATCCTTTCTTGGCAATTATTTCTGAAAAAAAAAAAAAAAAAGAAAAGAAAAGGAATAAGTGTTCTTATCTGAAAATAGAAATAAAAATGTTCAAAGGGTATCACCACTGCAATTGTATTAATGCCACTTTGGACATGTTCTCCAAGTTGTGGTTGCCTTAATAAACTAAAAACAATTTTTTTTGTACATAATGTAATTATAAAGCTCTCAGTCTGCATGGATGCAAACTGTGTGTGACAAATCGTCTCTTTAAATGGTCAGTTCAAATTGTACATTTCTCATTCGAGTTGTCCGTTAGCCATTGATTGAACTTGGGTAAAATACCCAAGCTCCATTTCCACAGCCCAATTAAAATTTTTAACTAAAACAAAGACTGAAAAGAAGCTGTTCCATTGCAGTGTCAATGCTTTAAAAAAAGAAAAAAGGCAATTGTTGAAATTTGAAATAGGTACTTTCAACTTTATTTCCTTTCTTTTTAAATCCTGCAATGCACTCAACACCTAGCATGGCAAGATGGATATTAAAATGAGAATGGGGAGGGAAGATTCCACCAAGGGAGGGGGGATTGGAATTACTTAATGGTTCACAAGCCAAATGCTATTCCCTTTCTCAAGAAATCTTGAATTGGTTTATTGCCAAGGAAGCTTCATATAGCACGACACTAAAAAAAAAAAAAAAAAAAAAATAAAAAAAGAACCACGAGAAAACCCCACCAAAAAAACAAAACAACAAACCCAACAAAAAGTCCCCACAAAAAATATTGTGTTTCTATTCTGTTATTTATTTACAAAAATCATATCAAGACTATGGTGTTAGAGGAACACTGTAAACATACAACTCGTTGTTTTTTAGAGACTGATTTTTCTTCTGTGATAGCACCTTAGCTTATTAAAACTGAACGCATATGGGGATAGGATTGCGTCGGGGAGCTGGAAGAGGGGATGTATTTTGTTTTTATTTTTAAGACTGGAACAAATTTTGAGGTCCTAACTCCTTAAAACTGATAAGAGGGATCGCAGAATTTTGTTTCCGATTTGTTTTGCATCATTCATCATACTTATTTGTGCTTTTTGTTTTCCAATTAATGCAGCTTAGAAATAAATTGGCTGGTTGCTCGTTCTGTTAAAACCAATTTTGCTTTTCAGCTCTCTTGAACTAGCACAGTGTTATTAACTGAAGTTGTAGGCCTGCAGAAAAGAAAACCCTAAACCTCATTGAACTCCTCTCTTCTTCCTTAAAAAACATTGGATTGAGGTTTAGTTAATTTATAAATATTTTTTTTTCCAATCTCCTTTGAGCTTGAAAGTAGGTGACAGTCACTTAAAAATTACAGAAAAAAAAATCATAAGTTTGGTATTCCAGGTAGCTGAAATTAAGCCAGACAACAACTTATCCTTAATTTTATCTCCAGTGATATCTTTCCTAGCACTGAAGGACATTTCAGTGTGTAGTGAGTGAAAGAAGGGTCTGAAGGCAACAAATTCTGTCATCAAATGCCCATCATGGCTTCAAGAGGATCAGAGTGCCCGTAAGGGCTGGATTTGGGCTGGACCTGTCTGGACACACTGGGATAAAGCTGCCCCAGGGAAGGATAATTGAGTGGCTGCTGCCTCCCATGCTCCTGAGCTTTGGGAAAAGAACACTCTTATCCTTCCAAAAAGTGCTATCCAAAAAAGCTGCTAGAGGCACAGTGTTTAAGGAGAGCATCCACTTGGAGAGAACAACCCCACAGACCCTTCATGGAGCAAAACCATGAAGAAGGTCCTGTTTGTCCTACAGAACCCTAAGTTCAGGACTTGGTAGCTAAAAGCTCTCAGCATGGGATGGGCTCTATCCAGAAGCTCAAGGTTTGTTTTTTTCATGGCAAGAAGGTGCTGGTGGAGCGTGGTGCTGTTTGTCCACACAACACCCCCATGCAGCTGGTCCTGGGCTTGTTGGTGTCATAAAAAACAGAGTGAAAATACTCTTAGATGGCACTCAGAATTTGTGTTCTGCATGTTGCATAGTCTATAAAGATGATAAGCAAGTTGCTGACAGAATAATATTTTGAGGCCATGTACTACATGCAGATCATAAAGGATTTAGTTTTAGGGCTTAAGGCTAAAATCCCACTCCTGCCGTTTATTACCCAACAATATTCCAGTAATGAGCTTTTTGATTTTTTTCCCTTACCACAAGGAAGATTTACTGAGGAACTCTCTAGATTCTCTCCACACATTTCCAAATACTGTATAAAACTAGGGTGAAAGCCCTTTTGCTTACTAAGACCAAAAAAAACCTTTCAAACACCTCCACTGTGTCACAGATTAGCATACATCTGAGCATGCTTCAATAAAAACACAAAACGGTATCACGTGGCTGTGAGCCATATGAAATGAGGCCACGGGTTTGCATCCACTCTGTGGGTCTTTTATTCCTCAATCCAGTGTAAAACCAGAAATGGGGATAAATATTCAGGGAGAGAGGAAAAAAAAAGAAAAAAAAAAAAAAAAAAAAAAAAAAAAAAAAAAAAAAAAAAAAAAAAAATAAAACAAAAAAACAAAAAACATTACCACTTGTGTCTCCAAGACCTTCATGCTGCCAGTTTCTTGAGCCCTTCAATATTAAATTTTCTGTGGAGCACCTTTCATGTTTTTGGATAACTTAAAAAAAAAATGGAAAAAATAAATTAAAAAGAGGTGAAAATAGTCATCAGCTACCTGGGTATCCTACAGCATGGCCCACTTGGCAGAAATTTTGTGGGACATAGGGCATTTTTCCAATTGTGAATGTTTGGATTATACCTGGTGCAATGGGGTGCTGGTGAATCACGAGGGCTTCTGAGCACTACAATGATGCACCAAATAAACAGAAATCACTGTTCCAAACACAAGGATTTCCCTAAATCTTAATTTCACAGGCCCTGATTCAGGACTGCACTTAAGCATATCTAAGGAGCATCCTGAACAGTTTGAAGAACAACTAAAAGAATGCAGAGAAAAGGGAAACAGAGCAAAACAAAATAAAAAAACCTAAAAAACAAAACCAGGATGGTTTTCTGAATTGAAAAAAAAAAAATATATTGCCGTTTTAATGCCTCTTCTTTCCATTACATCCAAAAACTGGGGTGCAGCAGTTCTGAGATAATTAGAAGCACATTTCAACAAAGGACACATATTGGAGATCTCCTTAAGATGCCTGCCTAGGTTGCATAAAACACTACATAGAAAAAAAAAGAAAAAGAAAAAATATAAAAACATGAAAAGAGCTGCCAATTGGACAACATGGGGAAGCAGTTCAATCCCATGTTGTTTTGTTTTACTTTTCTTTTTCTTTATTTTTTTAAGCTATTTCTTAAATAATAAATGCACATGAAGTGTTAAATATGTATATACTGTATTTCAAAAAAAATTAAAAAAATCAAACGAATGGGGCACAAGATTGTTCTATAAGTCGTGCTGGCTAATTTTTAGTTTGTATTCATAAGTGGTTTTTAAAAGCCTTTTTTAAAGTGTAATTTGCATGTTCTACTTTGATTGTATGTAAACATATTTTAGAGCAAAAAAATGTATTTGTATTTTATTGAATATAGAGGCAAGAAAAAAACTTGTACATTGTTTGAAATGTTCTTTTTGTAACAGTTTTTATTCATGAAGCATTTTTGTACATTTAAAAATGGATATGGACTTGATGTTCTTTGAGGCTTAGATACATCTGGCATGCTTTAATGTCATGCTCCTTCATGATCTTAGATGTTGGTTTTTAAACATTTTTTTCTAAAACAAAGCTCAGTCTTTTCGCTACCAAATCAGGTTAGCACAGTATAGAGCACTTAACTAAAAAAAAAAAGAAAAAAAAAAGTTAATCCTATTCATATGTTATTCATTGTGTGAAATTAAAGGAATTCAATTCAGTCTAACATGAGTTGTGAATTCTTTTGTCTTATTTTCCATCTGTTTCCCATCACTAAGGAGTTTAATAGCTTTTGGGATACTAATACCATGCATTCACAAGCCCTCTTTATGGTAATGGAGAAAAACATGCTTTGGTTCTGTTCTTTTTTCTTTTCTTTCTCTCTCTCCCTCTTTTTTTTTTTTTTTTTTTCTCCCCCCCTTTTTTTTTTTTTTTTTTTTTTTTTTTTTTTGTAATTTTTTCCCAGAATATCCTTAAAAGTTAAAAATGGACTGTGCCACGGGCCCCATGGGCAGAAGGGGGATTCACACTTCAGTGCTGTGCCTATCACTAAGTGGACAGAAACATCTCTGGTCCAAATTGTGTCCTCAGGCACCAGCAGAGTAGAGCTCGCCACCCAGGTGGGATTTCCACTCCAGACGCAGATGGAGCATCCCTCTCCAGATCCCTGCAGGGAGGGCAGTCCCAGGGGCTGGGCTGTCGACAAGGGGGTGGCAGGAGCCAACTCTCTCCTCAGTGAGCATCAGAGAGGAAGGGCTGCAGGCCAAGGGGTATTTTCTGTTCAGTGCAGCCTCTTGCTGTGACAATGGCACAGGACACTGCTTGCTGTACGGTTTTCAGTTTCCTTTCCAAGTTGCTGCTGAGAGAGGTCCTGCTGCCATTGTAGGCAGCCAGCCTCAATATCCATGAGTTCCTCCGCAGGAGGATGCCAGGTTTCATCTTTTTCCTCCTCAGGGAGAGTTCTTCACCTTCACTAAATGCTCAGCAACCTCGTGGAAATCAAATCTCACGTGCTGGAGGAGTCAGTGATGCCTAGGCAGGATAGATAACTTAGTGTCCTCTCTCATTCTTCCCTTCTGAAGCTTTATGGGATGGACTGCCTTGGTGGACCCAACTCATCTAACTGCAAAGACAGCCCCTCTGGCTGCTGTTTTGACAGCTGTTGCTTCATGTTACTGAAGTAGATCTGCTCCAAAGATCTCAAATATTACGGAGCTTATTTTCTTTCTCTTCTCTCTCTCTGTCTCTCTCTTTAAGATATGCATAGCCTCCGCTTTTGACAACATTTGCAAAAGTGCTGACATTTTCACTCAGTTTTTTATGTGATGTATAAGCTACTGGTCTCCAACTCTAACCACATTTTAGTCAGAGGCCTGTGGTAAAGCTCTTTAGGAAGCATCTGTGAACTGCAAGATTTGTGTTTGCTGCTGCAGTATCTCAGGACAATTCTCTCCTCCTGGCAGCTCTTTTTTTCAGGTTTACCTCCCATCACCTCAACTCTGCTGTGCTTTGGTGGTGTCACCTCACAGCCCAGGGGGCAGCGAGGTGTTGGGGTACAAATTGGGGATGTTTGGTTTCCATTTCTGGGTGAGGCGAGGGCAGGAGGTATTTCATCTGTGAGGCGTTCACACTTTCTTGCCTCTGGGCTCTTTTTTTTCCACCAGGCTGGCAGCACCTAGTGTCAGAAGACAACAGCCCTCACCAGTCTCCTCCTGGGCAGGGAGGATGCTCTGCTCATCAGCCCA